TGGTCCTCGACATAAGACCACAATGGAGCCCAACATTTATGCTGCTAAGCGAGACGGTTGTTAAGTGAGTATTGCTGCGTGTGACGACCTTTCTTGCCGCAGTTGTTAAGTGAATCGTTGCCGTTGTTACGTAACATGGTTGCTAAGTGAATCCGTCTCCCCCACGGACTTTGCTGGCCGCACGGTCGCAAAAGGCGGTTGCAACCGTCATAAATATGAGTCAGTTTGCCAAATTCTGACCACGTGGCCACGGGGATGCCGCAACGGTCATAAGCGTGAAGCGCAGCCCTAAGTCACTTTTTTCCCCAGCGCCGTCATAACTTCATAACTTAAGAGCCGAGGTGGCGCAGTGGTTAAAATGCAGCACTGCAGGCTACTGCTAGATCAGCAGTTCAGCGGTTCAAATCTCACCGGCTCAGGGTTGACTCAGCCTTCCATCCTTCCGAGGTGGGTGAAATGAGGACCCGGATTGTTGTTGGGGGCAATAGGTTGACTCTCTGTAAACCGCTTAGAGAGGCCTGAAAGCCCTATGAAGCGGTAGATAAGTCTAACTGCTATTGCTATTGCTATTGCTATAAAGAACACATCCCAGAGCCAATGGGAGGGCACTGCATATAAAACAACTCTCAATTTTTCTACGGGGCCTCCCGCCTGGTATCTGGGGAGAGGGTGTTAGAGCTGGAAGGGACCTTGGAGGTCTTCTAGTCCAGCTTCCTGCTCAAGCAGGAGACCCTATACCATTTCAGTCCAGTCTCATCTTTTTTAAAAAAAAAACAGGGATAGAAATCCCTACAACTTCTGGTGGCGAGGAGTTCCACTGCTTAATTGTCCTCACGGTTAGGAAGTTTCTCCTTAATTGCTTCTCTCTTTGGTTAGTTTCCAACCATTATTTCTCGTCCTGCCCTCTGGTGCTTTGGAGAATAATTTGACCCCCTCCTCTTCCTTGTGGTAGCCCCCCCCCCAAATACTAGAACGCAGCTGATCCCTCTTTTCTCTAAACCAGCCAAAGCCAAATCCTGCAGCCTTCATATCTTTTAGTCAACTGAGGTTGCTCTTCTCTGCACTTTTTCCCCAAAGTCCACAACATCCTTTTTTGTAGTGTGGTGACCAAAATTGGTTGCAGTGTTCCAGCGATGATGGCCTTATTAGGGTTTTATAAAGCGGTACTAACACTTCACGTGACTCTGTTCTCTGCCTCTGTTTATACAATCCAGTGTTGAATTAGCTTTTTTGGCGGCGGCGGCTGAACACTGCTAGGAAACAGCAAACAGTCTAACCATAAAGAAGGGTGACGGGAACTAGATTACTCGTAGGGCCGATGTGGAGACGATAAAAGGGGTCCAGAACCAGCCTCAAAACTTTCCTCTGGCATAGAGTGTCCTGCACACACTAGGGACAAATGTTCTTTAGATATGGGACGTCTCTAAAATGATGAATTTCAAAGAGATCCAGGACGCAGAGAAATGCTTTAGGAGGCCAGGAATCAGGAATCAAGGCTTAAGTGAATATAGCAATAGCAGTTAGACTTATATACCGCTTCATAGGGCTTTCAGCCCTCTCTAAGCGGTTTACAGAGTC